TGTGCGAGTGTTCTCTCTGTATCTTCCATAATTCATACGTTCCTTCTAATGAAGATTTAATTTTTTCGTCTGGTTACCACGTTGTGTTTCTCCCCTCGCAGTTTCGCCTCGCGCGTTGCGCTTCAAATAACTTTGCTCTCACTCTCTCTCTCTCTCTCTTTCTCCCTCTTCTCCCTCCCTCCTACGCTCCTCCCATTCGCGCGTCCGTCTTTCGCGATCGTAGTCTTCCAGAAGGTTAGCACATCCCATTATCCCGAATCACTTTGCTAATAACTCACTTCCCGCCGAAACGCTCGTGCAGCATCTGCGGACTCGGGTTATTTGCTTAGGTGCCTCCTGAGGATAATCCAGGTATATTTACGATAATCGATAAGCGATAAGCTACCGTGCGATAACCGGCGAAATGGAGAACGTTGAGACATTCGGTGCTCACTGAGGGCAGAAACGGTGAGGGAGTTCTCCATAATTTGAAAAAAAAAAAAAAAAGAGGAGAAATCTCTCGATCGAACAAATATTCTCGTTCGAAGAAGAACCTGCGTTTCAGAGAAGCTTGAATTCGGCAGGAGTGAAATTTCGACACGAGCGAATAAAATTGTCGGAATTCTGCGTATTGTAGCGGATAATTTCTCCCGTTTGAAATCAATCAAATAAATGCATCCAAACACACGCGAGACGCGCCTCTCTTCTTCGGTTTGCTAACAATGTCACACACACACACACACACACACACATGCGACACACCGATCGTTCACGAGAGATCAACGTCACACCGTGTGTGACTGCGGTAATTTGTTTCCCTACATTCGCATGAAACCGTTTAACACAATTACGTACAAAATTCAGAGTGGTCTCCACAGGGCGAGAGCGGCGGCTTCCCAACGAACCCACAGTAGCGAACGAATGTCGACTCGGTTCTCTCAATTTCCGGTCCGTTCTGGCGCGGATTTACTCGCACAGGCTGGAACGGCCTCTCTCCTCCGGAGTCGATATCGGACCGACGATATCGGGCGTTGCGAATCGTCCGGGAGAAAAAAGGAGCACACAAGCACGGACATTCGCGCGACGTCGGGCCCGGAGCGGAGAAGACGAGGTTCGCGAGAAGCTCCGAGGAAACTGATCGAGCACTCGATCCTGGTATCCCATTGCGACCCACCTGGGCAACCTGAGAAGGGACCGGCGAGAGCCCGCCTTTAGGGTTAACGAGCCCCTGTGAGCGCGCCAGTGGGACCTGCGCCTTTTGTAACCCGAAGTGACGCCGATCCTATTGACGACGGGACTCCCTCCGCTTCCAATCGGTGATCTATGGATCCCTACTCGACCTCTGCACTCCGAGTGCGGCTCGTAATCGTATATTTCATTGGCGGCCAGAAGAGAGAGAGAGAGAGAGAGAGAGTGGCTCTTCCCGTGTGTTTGCCCGCGGGTTCGATTGTCGTCCCCGAGCCCGCGCATTGTGCGAACGCGCGCGCGGCCTCGTCGCGGAAAGGAGTACGCAAGAGGGGAGACGGAGAGAGTCTTTAGGATCTAACGCGTTCTTTCCGAAAGAAAGCAAGAGAGAGAGAGAGAGAGAAGAGTGTATAGTATTGCGAACCTGCTCGCTCTTCGACCGCTCGGCGGAGTTAACCAGCGCGTTTCAGCCTGGGCCGCTTTCTCGCACGCCCTCGTACAAGGTGGATCGACGCCGAATGGATATTTATGGGCGGTGTTGCTTCGTGGTGAAAAGGGTGTGATTCGATGCTCGATGATCGATCGATCGATCCGTCCATGGAACGAACGAGCGAGCGAGCGAGAAGACCGAGGAGACGAGCGAACGGCAGGCACGCGCGGTGTAACGTTACGTTTATGATTCCCTGGAGTCAGCAAAATAGCGGCGTCCCGTAGCTGAGGTATCCACGGAGGTTCACGGAGATTAGCCGATGTCTGATCAAACGCGATTTATCGGCGGTACTTTCGCAAACTAGTCATTTCGATCGTTAGAAAGGAACGCTTTGGAGAAAATGAGGCGCGCGGTAAGCACGCGATATCGGCGACTCAACGTGTGACGTGAGTATCTTTGGGTCGCAAGAGAAATGGAGGGAATCGAGTGAAAGGCGGGGAAAACTCGTACGAGGATTTCACAGATCTGACGTGTTTCCCGGATCGCTAAGACTTTTCATTTCGACCGACAACTCGTCGAGGAACAGCGCCAAAACCGACGTACAATTTCGTTTTTACGATCTAACGTCCTGTTGAAGATATAAAATTAAAATCTATGTTCGTAGATGCGAGCCAGCAACATTTCTCTATCAAAATATATGACAGTCTTATGAAAATTATTACCTCAATATACCCCTCCCCCCTCACCCCTCCAAAAGATGTTCGCCACAAACTTCTTTATATCCGCAATTATCCGCGCGAATCCCGCGTATATCCTCTCGATCTTTCGCAAATCCTTCGCGAAAGGTCAGACTTCTGGTAGGGAGGGTCACACGAACAGGGGGAGCTCGCTTCCGATAAAGATATTCCATCGGGAGTCTAGGAAGGAGGGGGTTTTATCCGGGCCGGCGGCCTCGAGTGGACCACCCGGCCCAAACCGGCTAACTAACGAACCGTGACGTGTCGGTGATACTACTCGACAAGCGGAAATAGAATTTTCCACGCGCCTATCCTAACGCGCCACATTGTGCCCGTGTATAACGTGTATAACGTTTTACGCGCGCTTCAGGTAGCTCGCAGCCCACTTCCCGTCCCCAGCCGGGGCCGCGTCACGCGCATAATACCGCGAGTTTAGCATTTATATCTCGCGGACCAGGTACACTAACGTGTGTGTTCTCGCATAATTAGCGGCGGTTCTTATGCACCGCCGTGACATCGGCGCGGAAAGGGGGAGGAGGAGGAGAAGAGGGACAAAAAAAAAAACGGTCGGGACGCAACCCCGTCGAGGGACCGGAGGGAGGGGGAGGGAGGGAAAGGACGGGCGAGAGAGGCGCGTACAATAATTTTTTTCCTACTGTTTCTCATCGCCGCCTTTTTCAAACGAGGCCCCGAACGAAGTTCCGCCGAAATTCCCACACGTCGTAACCCCTTCGCCAGTGCGATTTGCATGCCGGCGAGAATATCGATGCATCGTACGGGAGCGACGACGATGTCGGTTTTCTTTCTCACACTGAGAAAAAAGGACGACGGGATCAACGCGGCACTGGTTGCGTCGTTTCGAGACTCGAGCTTGTGAAAAGCTCCGCACGGCTTCCGGCCGCCTTGCCCGACGCGTTTCGCGATGCATCACGTGTGATTACCCGATCCGGTGGTAGTGCGGCTATTGAGGGCACATAAAAATCTGCTGGATTGTGAGTAATTAGCGGACGTGCTCGTCAATGAGAGCGTAATAGCGATTCTTCGGGCCAGGTTATCGCCGGTGCGGGTACTCCGATGTGAGTATTCGATTGAACTTCGTATTCAGAGGCGATCGCGAGCAACGTAACGTTCCTTAGGTAATAATATAAAAATGTGCCGCCTACTCCTTTTTCTCTTCTTCTTTCTACGTACGAACGTTATTACACTAACGAAGGGGAAGACCGGGAATTATAGAGGAAATTGCTCCTTGTAAGTACACGACTCTACCTTTCAGTGTGTCCGAAGAGAAAGAAAGAGAGAAAGAGATATGCATACGAGCTACCGTAGAATACGCTGCACTACGCGAATGATTTTATTTTGTCGTTTCGGCGCGGCTAAGATAAGGTACAGGTAAGGTAATATCGTCGGGTAATGAAGTCACGACATCTGTATGTTGTACTCGCCCGGTCATCTTCTCATCAAATAATTTTTCCGAGATATACCCTGCGAATCGGCGACGACGGTAGCGGCGGATGCAGGCACGCGAGAACGCGACGCACCGGCGAATCGCGAACCCGGTATATATAATTGCGAGATATAAACACGGTTATCTTCTCGCGAGAATAAATAGCTATCAAGATGCGAGGCGATTCGCCGATTGAAAGGGCTGTTCCCTGTCGCGCTACGACGGCACACGAATGTCCGCGTCTGCCTTGCCGACGTTTTGCCGTTCCCCGTTCGGTTTTTTCTTCTGTCTCATTGAGAGAAAATCAGGCGTAATTATATGGTATATACGCGGTGCATGAGCACGCGGACATGTAATGAAAGCGCGCGAATTGTAAACATTCATTATGCGTAAGAGCTTCGTTTTAAAATTGCAAAACGAGTTCCTCTCTCTCCGTTCGGTAATTTTCAGAATACGTTGTTGTCGGCGAATCGACGTTTCGCCGCCGGTGATTTTATTCAGCGACGAAGGGTGTATCTGAACGTCGATATACAGCGGACAGAATAACGTACAAATGCCGACGCGTTTATTTTTAATTATTTTAATTACTTGTCTCGATTTTAATTGGAATTATTCTCGTCTCGAGACTGATTTTATAATTTTATCTCATTAATTTAATTTACTAATTACTTCGACTTGTCATAATCGGCTCCTATACGGAAAGAAATGATGTTGAGTCAGTAGGAATTTCCAATAGTACGCGTAATTGGAGTAAGCCTTCTTGATTCAGTAGCGATGTCATTGAAAGTACACTGCAAATCCAAGTGTGTTATTTTAACTGAGGCTTTTCCTACATTTCTTGACATTTTAAATCATGTCATTCGACAATTGGATGCGTTAATTTGTAACTTAACGCGATTAAACGTTTTAAAGGACTTTATCTGAAACGGTAATTTGCCATAATGCCATTGAATCAAGATTTGCTCCAACTACGCTGCCGTTGAAAATTTTATCGGTGCAACAGCATTATTCTTCCGCATATTTACGAATGACATCACTTCGATATAACAGAATTTATAAAATTCACTGTAATCATTAATAATATTAATTGTAATTATAAATTAAATATGCTAGGCAGTAATTTCGTATTTTCACAATCGGAATAATTATAGCTCACGAAAATATTCCAATGAGCCGCTCGTCCAATTAAACATTCGCGCAAACGTTATTTTCTTTATTTTTACAGGTTTTCCCACGAAACGATGACGGAAGAGAGAAGGACAGAAGAAGAAGAAGAAGAGGTGATTCACGGAGGGTTTCGATACGCGGCGAAAGATCGAGAAGGGAAACGTCGCATCCGCGCGGGGAATAAAAATTTCGAAGTTGGCTTCTCGACCGAACGGATTACGAAAAATCTGGGGCGAAGCGGCGTTCTTAAGGGCCACTCGAGAGGAGTCCTTGCCGGTGGCATACCTCCCTTTCACATGCTAACTCTTCTCAATAGTCCGGCGCCGAGGTACGAAAGGACCACTTTTCAGATTTAAATCAAGACCGCGCGCGCATACGTATCCTGCCGCGATCTACCGCGATTTGCATCACAGTGCCCGGCGAGACGCACATGCGTGTGCGTGGACGGTATACTTTCAAACGTAAATATAAGCGACACACCCGTTGTCAGGCAAACGAACTTACCCGCAAACTCGAGAGAAGTTATCGGCGCCGCAGCGCGTCGAATGGAGCGCGAAAAGACCGCGTGTGAACAAAATAATCCGTGCGCCGCAACGCGCTGCCCGACACCGCGAGTGTCTCGGATATTTACTCAGTATTTTAATGCGTGTTTTCTCTCTCTCTCTCTCTCTCTCTCTCTCTGTCCGTCTCTTTTTTCCTTATTATTCACGAAGCAATAAAGCGAATGTAGGTCGTACACGACGAACACAGCTGCAGCTAAGTATTTTATTTTTTGCTCAGTCCGTTAAAACCCACTTTAGACGACGCAAATAATTATATAGTTATATATAATTAAACGTGCGTACGTGCGTAAATAAAAATTACACCACGTAAATAATCTGTATAATTTATAACACGCGACAGAGAATTCGCGGAGTAGCACTCCACTTCCGAGGGATCCGTAAAAAAGAATATGCGAAAAGTCAGAATGGCTTTTGCGAAAATATATGCATGCGCCGTGTACACGCGTTATCATTTAATATCTTCCATTTCCGGATTTGGAATTTCCTTTTTCGAGTCGAACCTTTCGTATCTAAATATTCCTCCATAGGGGGAGCGCAATTTTGTTCACCTATTATTCGAAGTTATGAAACGCGAATATCTGGACGCGACGCGTTCGATTTCCAACCCGGAGGCAAAGTGGAATCTCGAAATATTTCCCGATGGCGCAAAGTGCGGCAACTTGCGCTCGAAGGTGGCGGAAATTATTTTTTTGCAGCATTTTTGCGATACGTAACATTACTGATTTTATCTTACAAGTTTAAGATGAGTTTAAAATGATCTCAAAGCTCATCTCGAACCATGTTATGACTAGACGAGAAAATGCCCAAACGGTCCATCAACAATGGAACATAAATCAAGTTGACCACGTGTCGTTCGGCTCACCCTGTATATTTTAACCACTCTTTAATCTTGCCGTGAAAGTTAGACAGAGAGAGAGAGAGATCGTCCGCAGCCTCGAGACAGACGCGCGGCAATTACACGACGGCGTAATGTGGCGGGAATAATCACGGTGGTCGCTCGCTCTAAAGTCGATACGACGTCAATGTAGAGGGAGACCCCGCCGGCTTACAATTTGTCCGCGATTATGTCGTTGAAGTCGTAATATTTTCTTCCCGACGAGCGATTTAATTGCACAAGTGAGCCGAGTTGCAACACAATTATTTTTACTCGCGTGCGACAAACGTATTAAGGGTTCGGCGGGAGAGCGCTCGGGTAACGAGCGCCGTCGCACCTGCCGGCCGCAATAATTCGTTCTTACATTCGGAGCCCGGCTGATATCGAATTAAAGAAATTCATTAGCTAACTGCCGCGCGCGCGCGCGCGACAAAGAAGATTACCGTTAGCCGGCGCGTCGCGTAACGCCGTAAAAAACTACGAAATTACGGCTCGGAGTAGCCGCTCTCCATAAATAACGCTCATTTTCGTTCATGATTACCGACCTGGCACTGGAGGTGGCGAGCGAGCGAAGTTTCGAGAACGACTTCTCGGACACAGCTCGAAAACAGCTCTCTTAATACTTCCGAATGATATTGCACAACTGCTTATCTCGTTCATCATCCGCGCGCCGCGGTCAGCTGCGAGATGCGAGAACGAACGAGGTGTCTAATATAATTACGACTCGTGCGCTCGCTTTTTTTTTCAAACCGGAGCCGCCGCGCGCTCTCCTCGCGAGATATCGTCGCAGCGAAGTGCAGCGAAGCGAGAGTAACGTAGTTTCTTTCTTGCGCTTCTTCCGCTCGCGCGATGCTACGTCGATCGACGTTTCTCCGCACGGTCTTCGCACAAAAGCCACAAATTTGCGTCGCAAATCACCGATGTTATCGCTAATTGTTGCAGCTTTCTTTGCTTTGCACCGATCGAGTCGGCACTCTGAAACCGGGCCGGCGATGTTGGACGAATCTTTTCCCACCTTTCCTCTTTCTTTCATTTTCCGCACCGATCGGAATTATCCGTATCACATGATTTCAGAAAGCGAATTACGATCACGACGACGACGTTCGTGCGCGTCCGACCGCGCGAGAGACATCGATCAACCGCTCGGATGCAGCCGTTCTCTTTCTCCGGTGCTCCCGCGGTATCATCTCGCAGACGTCGCGGACTGGCCCGCCGCCATTATCCCAAAAGCATCCGGTGATAGCGTCGGTACTAACTCTCTCGGTTACGTTCGTTTGATCGCGCGCGTGCACGGTGGCCGCGCGTTCCTTCCTTCCATCAGTTGTCGGCAACCGTAATTACGATATCTCGATACACGAGCTTCGGTTGACAATGTGGCCTCCGTACATTACCTCCGGATAAGGCCCGCGTATCAACGTTTAACGCATTTTTCTCGCGGCGAACGAGAAGGCAGATGGAGGAGGCAGGGCGAACGGCGATGGCGGCAGGGGGAGATACGGGAGCGCCGAAGACGAGGNGGGGGGGGGGGGGGATGGAAAGAAGCGACGTCGTGAGGAGTGCCGGACTAAATTACCCGGACGTGCTCGCGCAGATAAGGCTCCCTGTGTACGCGCATAATGCGGTACGTAATGTGCAGTCCACAGGCAAACCCACCCCGCCCGCCACCTCCTCCTCTTCCTCCTTCGTCGTTGTCGTCGTCGTCGTCGCTGCTGCCAACGCCGCCGCCGTCGCGCCCGGAGGAAGAAGAGGCAGAGGTGGTGGTGGAGGAGGAGGAGGTTGGGGAACCTATGTATCCACGTATGCAGTCTGTGTGCTCAGAGGCTGGGCACATATTGACCGATACGTACCGCCGGTAGCAAGATAAACAGTTCTCCTCTCTCTCTCTTGGCCTTTCTTCCGCTCTCACTTCGTCCCTCCGTCTTCTCGTTTCCTCCTGCGACTCGTTTCCCTCCCTCTCTCTCTCTCTCCCTCTCGTTCTCTATAATTCTCTCTGTTTAGCTCCACCACCCTCTCGAGCCTTAACACCGAGTCGCCGAGCCCGTGACCCGCGCGCACAAAATTTACGGTGACACGTCGGCCATGGGACGCGCGCTTGTAAAATTTCGTCATAAAGAACGCAGTCCGGGATGCGATAGTCTAGTCAAGCCGCGATGCTAATCGCCGCGACGTGAGAGTAAAGGGGGATGGAAGTGCATTCGGAGAGAGAGAGAGAGAGAAAGAGGGACCGACTTATCTTTCTATTATAAAATTGTGTCTGTTTGCGTCGGGAAGTACGGGATAACGTCGAGTATGACGCATTTCGTTGCACACACGGCGTAAATCACTTCCTAGAATCACTTCTCCCCTCTATTTTGTGCCTCCGTTTATGCCGATTTCTTAATTATGTAATATGTAATATAGTTACGTAGGCTCGAGCGAGAGGCGCGTTCTGCCTATTGAAATATAAACGAACACGCCCCGCGACTCGAACAAAAGATTACATATTCCCCGTAAAAGGAAGGCGTGGAGTAGCAGCGAGACAAGTATGGATTGCCGCGGGTACGAAAACGAAATCACGCGATTGCTGTCGGACAGGCCGCGAAATAATAAAGTTTACCGTGTCCTTGGTGACTTTAATCGTTCGCCCGAGGTGACCCACCACCGCGACGAGGGAAGAGATCCCTGTAATTCCTCGCAAAAACTGGACACGGACTATCCCTCCCGTTCCTAAGCCTCTCTCTCTCTCTCTCTCTCTGTCGAGAGGGCTACATTTTTCGGCCGCGCGCCGTCGGTGGCCATTCACGTGTGCAGGCGTATATCGAAGATCGATCGTTGGCGGAAGCACCCTCGGGGCCGCGAAGTACTTCGGTATCCGCTTAAGTGCCGGGCTGATGCCGCCGGCGGCCACACCGGATGATCTTATTCGCGCGTCATGCGAATTTATATCGAAGCTCGCTCGCGCGCGCTCAAGTGGAAGGCGCGTAATTTCCGCAGATTGAGATCGGTAAGCGCTTCGCTTACGCGTCAGCCGGGGACCGATTTCGCGATTAGCGCCCGCTTCGATTACTTTAGTAAGTGAGAAATAACGTTCGTTAGCGGCACGCGTCGCGGTATTATCAATCGTATCTAAGGTGTAATTACGCGGCAATTGCAGAGCCGGGGCCGTGATGTTTACTGCGCGCGATCGCCGTCTAGGCGAATTTCGCGCCGCTGCTTGCGAGCGCGATTTCACGAGGTCTCTTTTATCATCGCGCAAACCCGATGGATGGTGATAAGTGGAATACGAAGGAAGAAGACTCGGGTTGCGCACACGATTTGCAATTCGCGGCAGGATTTAGCGTGGGTTTCTGTTTGCAGTTTTACGTGACGTGCAACGAAACGGAAATATCTGCAGATTCGTAGATACACACGCGTTCAGCTATGGATGTAATTTCGATCTTCTCGAGTATTCTCGTGCAAAATCAAATTCTGCCCCGAATTAGAAATATCTATGCGAAACGTATTATAATTAAAACCATCTCTCAAATATCATGTATATGTCGTAATATGTATGTTTTATAATTATAATATATATAATCATATTATAACTATATATATATATATATATATTACACTATAACTATATAATATTAAATCATATACAGGCAAAAAGGTGATATTATGGATCTTGTAAATATAATGAGCCCTTTTAACATCTCTATGTCAATCTTATAACATCACTTCCTCCTGTATGTAATTATAGTTTTATACGTGTATTACATAATATATTACAGATCACACACACACACACATACACACACGTATATACATAAAGTGACCTCGAAATCTGACACTTTGCACTTCTCACGTTGAACTACGACAACCTGTAGCGGCGGATGCCCGCGACAGTTTTTACCGCGCATCGGGGGGCAT